AAGATTTTACGGGATCAAACTAAATGACTTCTTTGACAATGACAATAAGCACAAATGTTATCACATTACTTTTACTACCAGGGTCACATATAGATATATACTTATGAACTGCTGAGCCCTTATAAAACATAATACATATGATACAAATATATTTGACGTGCATAATGAAATTACAAAATTACATGTATGATAGATTATACTGCTGGCACTGGCGTGAAATGACATTGTAGTTGAAGTACAGTTCCAAGAATTCCGTGTAGCGACACCCAGTAGGTCCCGTACCCCGCTATTACATATATTCATCTCTCAGTACCGTGTTTCTCCAGAGCAACACAGATGTTTCTACCAGTCAATGCGTATGTCTGACAGTATTGTAATATAATGCTACCTTGTCCTTTATTTGCACCACTCTATTATACAACAATACACCTAAGTTTCGCTTCAAAAAAGACAAACTTAGCCTAACCTCAGGCCGGCTTTTTCAGTATTTAGCAATTCAATTCTATTTAGAATCTAAAATATATATTTATTAAGATAAAACAAAAAGAACGCTGTAAAGTACTTTTATTTCGAATCATGACCCTTAATCTTCTGTATGATCGCTTATAATCATGATCTTTGGCTTCTAAGTCGTACGACATGTACAATACCAACATCTGTGTTTATACCTCTTTTGAGCGAAAATCGTGTTTCTCTATCCTTATCTAATATACTGGTTTTATAAACATTAATTGATATACAAATTACGCTTCGTCTTGTAATTAGGAAGGAAACATTAAAACGCCAAGATGAAATGTAAACTTCAAAACATTATATAGGTAGAACGTTATATAAAACAAAACGGATTACCATGCCCTGTAAAGTATGACGTTACAGAAGGGTCGATCGACATTAAAATTTAAACTAAAGTTGTGCTTTACACGTAGGTTTCGCTTGTCTTAATGATTTAACGAAAAGTGTTTGGATTCATGTTAAGCGCCAAACAAACATTTGTAAAGAATTACCAAACAAATAATTGATTCCTAAGTATATCCTTCGTTTGTATATATTTGATGACGCAAGCACAAATTGACTCCTACTATTTTCTTTTGTTGTTTAGAAGTTGGCTCCTGTTAAGACCACCATCGAAGTCATCTATACATTTCTGTATAATTGCATGTTTTTCATTTGTTCTTACTTTAAGATGATTGCAAAAAAACAATTTTTTTTCGTACGTTATGATAGGTAGAACTTTCCAAAGAAAAGTCAATTCTTATTACAAAATGTAAGGTCAAGTTTCACCTTTCCCACTTTTCGTTCGTAAGAAAGCATCTTTTCCTTCCTTCACGTTTTTTTTTTTTTATCATCATTTCTATTCTATCTATTATTATGTTTTTTCTTCGTATTTTCGATAACAAGAAAATATCACCTACATGTAAACATAATCGTAATCAAAACTCGAATCGGAGATTCATGAAAAAAACCAAGAAGAATAAGACCAGATGTTCTAGAAGAGTAAACGTCTTCTGCTTCATCGACGCCATCCGCCATGTTAATATTGGTCAATCCAAACAGGCAATGTCACGTTCTCAAATGAGAACAAGATATACAGCTACACCAACAGGCAAACTAACGAGCATTAAACATGCCCAGCTTCATATCGCACAATGAAAAAATGATATTTATCCATGAGATCGAAAGATAAATTACATGTGTAAAAAGTAAGACGCATTTCGTATGGAAAAGTTTTGAATTTATTTTTCTAAAGAACAAATCAAATCAATATACCAACAAAGAATTATTTGAAGCTAAAATGTCTTAAATCGAGGGCACAGAGGCTAAGACCAGAGGTTTCAAAAGGTTAGCCTGCGTCAACGACGACACCGGCCTTTAAATCTTTGTCTTTCTAATAAGAAAAAGATCTATGACAACGAAACCAATAGGTGACCTAATGTAAGATGTATCTAATTTCAGATTTCAGAGGAAAATAGCAAATTTCTCATTAAGCTGAACATTGTCGTGATAAGACCTATCCATAATCTTCATCGTTCTTTATAACTCGAAATCCCATGTTTTAAATTATTGATATCTATCACATGAATCGTGATATTGTAACCAACTTCTAAAACATTAAAACAACTGTAAACTGTTATAACTATATTGGGTTGTAAAGATCTTATTATCTAGAAAAGGGAAATGCACGGCTAGGGAAAATAAGTGATCACACTAACAATACGGTTTAGTTGACAGCTGTCCCTTTTGCTGGTGTTGTAGTGAAAGAGTCAGACATGTCTTTGCTTTTCGATTCTGGTCCTAACATGTAGACATAATCAATATTGTTCATAATTTAGAAACAAGTAAAGTGAATTTCATATTGTCTTTAGTGAGATCTCAACTTTTTCACGTCATAAAAAGAAAGTTATAATCTTGATACAAGAAGTACATTACATTTCTGGTTTGACACGATCACCAACAAAGTGTTGAAGAAATTGCTCATCCTGCCAAGTATTTCCATGCATCGCATTCTCATGGGACACCTTATGATCTCCTACAAAGTGGTTGAACAGCGACAAGATAGTGTTATGTAACGCAACACTTCGTTTTCTTTTTGTATTTTTTGTAACAACAAGCGAATAATGCCAGAATTAATTGAATAAACGTTGCCGACCAGGGAACGCGTTTTCTGGAATATTTTCAGGCGATGAAGACTTTCATGTTCGTGGCTCTAATTCCGTACATGACAAAACTAGTCGACATGGGATGAAACGACTGAAGTAAAACAATATTGGTTTATCTTTCAATATACGCTTTATTGCGCAATCTCGCAGTTCAGATATTCTTCTTTCATTGCATTTAAAGTGGTTGTCTTAACCTAATACTAGATAATTTTTGCTGTTGCTTTGTGACATTCAGCAATGATAAAGAAATACAAGTATAATGATTGTGTTTTATGTTTTAATATATACATTTCCAGCCGTCCTTAAATGACCATAACTGTTGATAGGGTTTTAGATATAAAACCAAAACCTGTTGTGCCTTTAGGGAGACAACATCCAAGAAAATGAACGTTTACCTCATACAATCAATATCTTAAGTTAGTTTTTGGAAGTCACATGCTGGAATGCCTGATTAAGAAAATAGTTTCATCACTGATACCGACTGTTACTGTAACTATCATTAATTTAGTTTGCGAACGACGCTCTACACTTTGGAATGCAAAACAGGAAGCACTCTGCATTAAAAATCAATACACAATTACGATTTAGCTACAACTTTACAATTTCACTGTGGATTTTATTACTACAGCTGAATTTCGATGAAAATGATGGGAACGTTTTGCATTCTTCATAATGATTTCGTTTGGAAATATTCATTTCCTTATGCGATTTCATTGTTCATTAGTATACCTGTTCCTTTGTTATTAACCGCGTTCTCATTTGGGAACTTGACCAATCGTGTTGGGTAACGTTGACGATGCAGAAGGCGCTTACTATTTCATTTTCCTAGTACGTTTTTGTGTGTTTGTGTGTTTTTATTTCACCTAGGTTTATTAAATGTGACTTTGACTTATCGTTCTATTGGCTGTTTTGTCGGTTTTTCGTTTTTATTTTGAATATCACTTTGGAGCAAGATACTCAATAACGTTTGAATATTGTTTAACATCGTGGGAGGAATGCGGAGTTCCAGAAATGAAAGCCCACAATGGGGTCCCAAACCATTTTTGAAGTTTTTCCGGGGAAGGTAATTCACAAATGAGCAATTGTTTGCACAGGAATCTGACAGAAATGTTTTCCCCGTAATGTTTGATGTTAACGATGTGGTGTTAAAATGTTTTTTGACTAGATCACCGACTAAGTGTTTAGAAAAAACTTTCTGCTAAATAAAACCATACATCAAATACTCTCGGAACACCTATCATCCTTCACTGAGTAGTTGAACATTGGTTAGATAGGGTTATGCAATACAGCACTTCGTTTTTTAACAATTGTCAAAACACGACACTAAGCGAACGACGTTAGCAATAATGACATAAAAAGAGGCGACTAGGGAACGCGTTTTCTGGAACACTTGCCAGAGATGAATGTTTTGTATAGCATTCGTCTAACTACCCAGCATGTCTAAGTAGCTACATTGCCGCGAATCACGATAATTTAATCATCTACATGGGGTGGAGAAATTTATATGTAAAAATATGCTGTTTGCTATTTTCATTTATTTCAGATACTCTGTAATGCGTTTTTGGAATCCCTCCTTGTTTTCTGCTGTGCAATCATAAATATTTCTTCCATTGGTATTGATTTTCTGATGTAAAATCCAAACCATAAAGCAGTTTTATGACTATGTGTTTGAAGTATTAATATACACCTCTAATGTGGGAAATTGAGGAATCAGATGAACGGCATTGGAGTATGTTATGCAATAAGCAATTAGTTTCGACTTCAGTAAAAGTTTGGATTTAGTCCAACAGCGTTTGAATACTACTATAATCCTTAAATTTCCGGTGTCATTATTTTACAGCATTGGAATAGTGTTTTATTCGCAAACCAATGAACCCCGATTCCAGCAAAAAAAACCCAGACAATAATACATAAATAAATAAATCAACAAGAAATTAATATTTGACATAGCGCCTATTATTAGCTCGAGGATAATTTCTCAAAGCCATTCATAAGCCGATAATAACTAAAATGAAGCACGATTGATGACATGCCTAAAAGTTCTTGTCAGAATTACTGTATGCACTGTCTCTAGAGAAGGAATAAGATAACATACAAGATAAAAAAAGCCCAAAACACATTCAAATTATATGTTCGTTATACAATTTTATTTACGTTAACTCACAATTATTTTCAGCCATTCTCATCAAAATCCGTATTTTATTTTGAGATATGAATAATGGTTTGTGTAGACATCTGAATATGGAACTCCTGGTAAGGTCTGCATGTGATTACCTTGAGGACATTTTTTGCACTTGATCTGTATATGTTTTTAATACTTCAACGATATTATTTTTCTGACAGAATACAAAGAGGCATTTAACATGTACGACAAGGACCATGACGGAATCATCTCCACACAGAAGTTGGGTGCGGTACTGCGAGCGCTGGGACATAACCCTACAGAGATCGAGATGCAAGAGATGATTGACGAGATTGATTCTGAAGGTAAGACATGTATTTGGTTCAGTGACGCTTTAATGTTAACTCTGGAGGGACTAGGAATGTAAGAAATACGATGTGGTCGTGAACATTTACTTAGCAGAAACACTGGAGGATTGAAACATCTCCAGGTGGTAAACTGTGTTTAAAAGTAATTATGAAGGTCAAGGCGTATGATCAAAGAATGCTTTCCCTCGTGTAATTAGAAAACTAAAAAAAATGTTTAAACACCGAACATTAACATTGACGGGTGTCATTTATTAAGAAAGCGAATGAATGCAATATGCATGCCCAAGATAGCTGTTACGTAATTTTACTAACGAAACATAAATATAACTAAGATACCCCATTATTGTCAGCTTTTTAAATGCCTGTTTTGACTGGGCTCTCTGGCCCATTATTGTCAGCTTTTTAAATGCCTGTTTTGATTGGACTCTCTGGCCCATTATTGTTAGCTTTTTAAATGCCTGTTTTGATTGGACTCTCTGGCCCATTATTGTCAGCTTTTTAAATGCCTGTTTTGACTGGGCTCTCTGGCCCATCATTGTCAGCTTTTTAAATGCCTGTTTTGACTGGGCTCTCTGGCCCATTATTGTCAGCTTTTTAAATGCTTATTTTGATTGGGCTCTCTGGCCTATTATTGTCAGCTTTTTAAATGCCTGTTTTGATTGGGCTCTCTGGCCCATTATTGTCAGCTTTTTAAATGCCTGTTTTGATTGGGCTCTCTGGCCCATTATTGTCAGCTTTTTAAATGCTTGTTTTGATTGGGCTCTCTGGCCCATTATTGTCAGCTTTTTAAATGCCTGTTTTGATTGGGCTCTCTGGCCCATTATTGTCAGCTTTTTAAATGCTTATTTTGATTGGGCTCTCTGGCCTATTATTGTCAGCTTTTTAAATGCCTGTTTTGATTGGGCTCTCTGGCCCATTATTGTGAGCTTTTTAAATGCCTGTTTTGATTGGGCTCTCTGGCCCATTATTGTCAGCTTTTTAAATGCTTGTTTTGATTGGGCTCTCTGGCCCATTATTGTCAGCTTTTTAAATGCCTGTTTTGATTGGGCTCTCTGGCCCATTATTGTCAGCTTTTTAAATGCTTGTTTTGATTGGGCTCTCTGGCCCATTATTGTCAGCTTTTTAAATGCCTGTTTTGATTGGGCTCTCTGGCCTATTATTGTCAGCTTTTTAAATGCCTATTTTGACTGGGCTCTCTGGCCCATTATTGTCAGCTTTTTAAATGCCTGTTTTGATTGGGCTCTCTGGCCCATTATTGTCAGCTTTTTAAATGCCTGTTTTGATTGGGCTCTCTGGCCCATTATTGTCAGCTTTTTAAATGCCTATTTTGACTGGACTCTCTGGCCCATTATTGTCAGCTTTTTAAATGCCTGTTTTGATTGGACTCTCTGGCCTATTATTGTCAGCTTTTTAAATGCCTATTTTGACTGGACTCTCCAGGTTTGAAACTCACGAGTACGATGAAAGTTTACTCTAATTGTTCTGGTAAACTTACGGGATAGATGTGCTGGAAGGAAGAATCATCTTTTTTGACAGTTGGCGAGATGTTTTGATGATGAAAAAGACATTTGTTATGATTTTCGTTTAGATAACTTCATAACGGGTTTTTATGGTTGTAGACGTGACCGTGGTTTATATCTATAATTATTTGTTATTGTAAGTGCTGGGTTTTTTTCTCTTAGAGGTTTTGAATGGTTGGAATGTTGTGATAATGTAATTTCAATAACAGTAGAGCTGATCGAACTGGATCAATTGGCACGTCTAAATATCTATTGTTCCGGTTCGATTGGATTTCTACCTCACTTTTATATCTGATTCTCCGAATCAAATTACTCACTTGGTTATATAAATTTTTTTCCGGATTCTTAGTCGAAAAAAAATACGGATTATGTTCCGTAAAGAGGATACTTGTATCAATTTCTCAGAGAAATCAAAGTTCAATAACATTGTTCTTTTATATAATTTGAACCTGACAACATATGAGAGATCGCATATTTACCAATCTACATTGTCATTTATTTAAATATGGAGGCATCGATAATGTTTGAAAGTACAAGTTTAATGGACATGTTAAGGGTGTTTAAGACAAAAGGAAATTTCATTTTAAATACGACTAAACAGCAATAATCAGATCTTGTCATCTAACACCTGTCACGGAACAGAACCTGTTAGACAACCCATCAGAATGTCAAAAGTCGGTACACCGTCAATGAAAGAATAATGCAATGAGTAATCAGATAATGTAGGAGATAGAAAAGAGGAAATAGAGGGATTGACTGGAAGAATACGTTCATTTCTCCACATGGCTTCATACTACTCCATAATCAGTATGACTGCCAATTAAGAGAGAAGGGATTATATTGTAAATACGGCTAGACACCAAGTATTCAATATTGATATCTACAATGTGAAACTAGTGTAGGTGCCACCAAAAATACATAATTTCAGATTGATTATAAATTGATAAAAACCCTTGTTTGTTTAACACGTTGATAAGGAGGCAAAAACCTCCAGATTTAATATCATCTTACTTCAATTTTACACTATTGGACAAAACTTAAGGATCATTTATTTGGATATTTGAAACCTGACTATGCGTTTATGTTACCCAGTTAACCTGACATAGATCAGTATTTATAATTTATAAGATAACCATGCTTTAAAAACCGATGGAAACTAACTGCCTTTATGCTACTATGCTAAAAACTGACTGGGCTTTGTAAAGATGTAGTAAAGGTATGGCATTTATATAATTTTTCTTTATTTAAGCCAGACATCTGGTAAGTCGTCACTTCGATTGCAGTGTTCACTCAAATCGGAATATACCGTCTTATTCGAGACGTCAAAATATTCAGATGGGCGTTATTTTCTCGTAGAAAAGCTGTCAAGATCTCATATTCATTTAAGTACCTCTCGTACTGTTAAAGTCTAATAATAACATAAAGTGTTGTGATGGCGTCTCTAGATAGGAGATGCGTCTGTATTATTCATCATGGTTATGACAACATCCAGATCTTTAGATTTTCCGATAACTCCAGCTGGATTTGACTTTTATATTAAAGTATATGTCCAAGTACCTCAGAGTGCACCAATAGTTCGGGAGGAAATTCACAGCTTTTTGGCACTGTTTTGATAAAAAAATTAACGTGAAAATATCCTTTCGCATGTTAAATGTAAAATCGTAATTAAGTGGATTCAAAAATCTGCATTTAGTAACTTGTGCATAGGTTCTTCTCCTATTGACAAACTCTTTACAACACCGTCTCTGGAGCCAGTCTAATGCCCCAGCAATGTAAACCGGTCTATCAGATGTGTTTCTTGTATGTAGTCTCTAAATTTAGAACCGACGCTATTTAGTTTATGAAGTATAAATGTAGAAATAGCTGATATCAATCTAACACGCCAGTTTTCAATGTGCACGAAGTTGGTTATCTTGGTATAATGGTTCAGCTAAGGCATTAGTGTTCTTGGTACACCTATTTCCTTTCAAATTAACTTCAACGACAATTCACCTGATGCATTTTATGCGGGGTAGCTTTAAAACGCATAAACCAGGGTTACTTAACTGCTCATTAATCTATAAAAGAAGTAAAAGTCGGAAAGAAGAATTAATTTGTGTATTACCGTTACATGCTAGTAATCTTAGTAGTAATAATTTTCTAGGACGAAGCATTGAAGCAGTACACGCTATATGGTACACATGTAAATGTTAAGGGGAAGTTTTGCCAGACTCTCATTTAACTTGGAATCATTTCCATGACTTGGCTCTGCTTTGGTTTTTATAAGTGTATTCTGACAGCTTCGTTTTGTCAATGTGCCACAAAACAGTGTTTCACTGTTTGCCTTAATCCCGATTTTCTTTCTAACCAGGTGAAAAACATAAATATAATATGCATGTCTGTTATTTGTCAATTTTAATGGCACTGCTTGAATTATGCAGTGTTTATGAACCACTCCCATCCCATATCTCTATATTTAACACCTCATACACAACTCCACGTACCACTAAATTATTTGCTGTAGTAAAGTTACCGATAACAAAAGACCAATATCTAGAATTGAATCTGAATCTTTTGCAGAGAAAGCAGTATTTACAACAAGTTTGTTCCATGTAATAAAGAGAGAATATTGAAGACATTCGTGTGTCTATTGATAGACAAGAATAAGGAAGCCCATTTAATTTACGAAATGTAGCTACACCTTTAACACAAGAGGATATTTCATTGTTTGAATTTCAGATACCGGTTCTGTTGACTTTGAAAGTTTTCTGGACGTTGTCATGAGTCGTGACATTGATGACGAAGACCACGAAAGGGCGCTGCGTGAGGCCTTTAAAATGTTTGACAGAGACGGGAATGGCTACATAGACGCAGAGGAACTGCGGCTTTGTATGATGAACCTTGGAGAGAAGCTTACACAAGAAGAAGTAGAGGAAATGATACGAGAGGTTGACGTAGACTTTGATGGGAGAATGAATTATGAAGGTACATGTGTTATTATTAGTTTTTCGGATGTCATGTTGACCACGAAAGCAAGAACATACCAACTTGTCATCGTAACCATAATTCAAACTCAATTCAATAAAAAATAATGAAAATAAGCTAAATACAAATTTACAGGGAGACTCCTGGAAAAGTATAAGGAGAAACGACAGGTTGTTCCGGAAAAGTCAACGCCTTTAATATCAATTAAAAACGTAGGTAGGGTATTACATAAATGTACACATATCAACGTCTCCCCATTGTCTTTGTGTCATGATGATCTTTATATAGAATTTGACATAGGTATACCAACGGAAATGTTCGATACACCATAAAACAGAGCAGCATGAGTAGGGGGTCAAAGACCTTCGCCGAACTGGTGTCATTAATCGAAAAGTCAGTGCGTGTAAGAACTATATAAATAGTCAACATACTTGTATATGTTTATGTGATTCTGGTGTTAAATATATATGTAAACAGTATGCCGATCCTGGTACATGTTTATAAAGAAGAGATTGAAAATTGTATCTATATTACATAAAGGTATATTACTGGCTTCGTAGATATTTGTACAGGTCGTTATCCATCAGTTCAGCAACTGATGTTAAGGCCCACTAGCAGCACGCGGAGTAATGAGCTGCACGTGTATCACACAGCTGTGTACTTAGGTATAGAGAAAGCCGTACATGTCACAAAAGATGTATTCGTTATGTTAATACCTACAAGAAATGAGAAAATGTCTCAAATTACATCATGTTTCCTTCGACATTGGATTAACTGTTTTGTTTAATGACAATTTGTTTTGTATTTCTTTAATGTACACGATAAAAGTTTTCTTATTTAAATTGACACCAAGGTTAACATCTCGTATTAACAGGAAATGAGTAAAAATTAATATTTTTTGCTAGAAGAGACATTTTGATTTGAAGTACTTGTTCCATAAAGTTCTTGCACAGCACGCATCTCCCAAGAAAGATGATTTTCTGTCTTTTTAAAATTAATTTGAATATGCAAATTAATTGATATACAATTATCTGCAAACTGATATTAACAATTATGAGAATATAGAAAGCATTTTTTTTCCGGACGAATTTAGAATGTCAATTGCAACGCCCTAAAGCATATATTAACAAAACATGTATTCCCACAAATCCATTCCTTTGTTTCTTTGTTTCTTTGATATGAGAATATAATCTTCAATGCCATATTGTAATTTCTTGCAGAATTCGTCAAGCTGATGTGTACCAAGTATCCGTTGACGTAGTTTCCATGGTGACGTCGATATCAATATGACGATCTCCATCAACAAAAACTTTGCCTCAGGATTGGACGTGTCGCTTGTGATGCGTCATTTGATACGTCATGAGATGGAAATGATAGTCTAGTCCAACTAATATGATGGCGCGGTACATTACAAATATTTTGTGACTGATTAATCTACATCTACTCGTTAACTTACACGGTTCCTTACGGGTCACGTGGTTTTGACAAAACAATCGGATATTGGAAATGTGTGTCCTGAAGCTGTGTGATCGACACAAGCTGCGGAAATGACGATGGCATACTTTTCCATTATCAAATTTAGTACTGACTGACGATTAACGTCTTTACTCAAACTACAACCTTGGGTTTTTCATTGGAAAGTGCGATCTTCTCAATGTGATCAACGCACAGTCTTGGATACCAGAACATGTCATCACGATGAGTCTATGCATAGAAATGAATGGTGTGATATTATGTAAATAGTGATTTATTTGCATGCACCCTAAATAGAGAAACGTGTTTGAGCTAAGAGAAGAAATGGGTAATGGTTGTTTTTGGATACTAGTTCAGATATTTAATTTCATCCACAGTGTAAAATTTTATATGTGCAGGACGTTATCTGATTTGAAGATTTTGGAAATTCAAATAATAATGATGATAATTGTGTTTGTTGGGCTATGGTGTGCAAATTTGTAAATTTCTTCACATCTAGTGTAAAGATTGACATAACTGTGCTGATAACTTGGGTTGCAATGTTGGCGGCACGTTTAGAGACGAATGCGTAAAATGCTGAGAAAGTGACATTTTATTGTTTTGGATGTTTTATGTTAGGTGTTGACAACATTAGCTACCCTTTTACGACAACATTTATGTGTCCATTTCTCTTTTATCCTTCGGGTTGCGTTACTTGTTTGTTTATGGTCCGATGAATAGCCAGGACCACTTTGAGATGGGGGTCTTCTGAACATCATGCGGGAGGCCGTTCGCAAGCTACTAAGATAAATTTGCATAGAGTATCTTGCCCAAGAACACAAAAATGACAATACATCATGACTTGTGTTCTCAACTTCCTGGCCAACACAGCACGCCACTGGTAGGAATATGGCTAGTTATTCTTCATCCTAAGTCAATTAGTGTGAATCTCTAGTGAAATGAAAGTGTGAACTCTGGCAAAAGAGCAGATTTTGTTCATTGTTTCTCAAACTTTATACGCCGTACACACAACTTTGGATCAGGAACGTCAGTTTGATATATGTATTTAGATAGGTGTAGACAGGACCCATGCTCACGCGTCGGTTCCTGTAGGTTAAATGTCAGTATCTAGGTTAACACGGGAAATATTCTGTTCTTTATGACAACCGGTAAGAATGATGGTGGTAGGCGTGAATCAGTGAACTGGCCTCCCATGACTATTTTGTCATGTATTTATTTTTATTCTGAAGAATATCATTGATAATTGATACATTTCAACCACTGGCTGTTAATTTATTATCATATTTGTGGTTTCCTGTTGTCTGTTGATATCCCTTGTTTACTTCAGGAATTCTTTCAACTGTTATCGGTATTTTTTGTATATATATGTATTTATACATGGAATTTATTAACGCCGAGTACATGATGAATTACCCTGTTTTATTGAATGTATGAGAGAAGAAAGCCTGAGTTTATAACGACTGATTTTTTTTGTATATGAATTGCACCAGATAATCACATTTGTATACTTGTTTATATTTCAATCTCTATAACAGCATGCACCGAAATACTGAAAAAAAATCTTAAACACAAACTATTAAAGCTTTGCTCCAATCAGTATTCCTGAAATGAGTCTTGATGTTTCGTTTTAATCTACATTACAAATATTCTGTACAAAACAGAACCGTGCAACAATTATGAAGTGCTAAAATGATATTCAATAACATTGATAGACAGATATGTCTATAATTATTGACTTTGGCCAAGTCTTTAACGTTATCATATCAAACTTCTTTAATATGATGTAAGATAGAGTCTTACCACTGCATTCACACATTCTAATGTGTAAATTCTTGATTGAAAACAAAATTATTGCCATTTTTATCATTTAAGGACTTCTGGATGCACTGAAAGAACATACCATAGCGAGATTTTCCTAGAGACCAAATAATGCCTCATTGATCCGCAGCTCAACCAGGGAGATATCTAAGGTTACGGGTTGTGTCCGGATACTACTGTCAATGTAATAGAATTCTGGACGATACAAAGCAACCAAAATAGAGTACGGAAAACATCATTTCGGAATCTTAAAATTTATTTAGATAAGGATTCTTTTGTATGTGTGTAAATCGAATGAACTGTATGATTTTTAATGACATTTTTCATAAATTATTGTAGGTATTCTGTTCAAATCAGTGTCCATCCGTTAATATGCCTGTATACCGAAAGGTTGCCGGTCAGTATGAGTGTATTATTATCCATGTAACTTGTCCATTTATATTATCCATATTTGATCGTTACTGGGTTTTTTTCTATGTAAAATAGCTACCCATGTCATTTGTTCAATCTTCTCATATCTTATAGCGTGAACATTTTCACGGATATCCTTCAGCTACCTACGTTGTAAACTGGAGTAGAAATATGGTACAGTATGTTGTTACTGTGTGTGGCTTTTCGAATGGAATTACATTTTTATAGTAGCTGTTTTTGTAATCCGACTTCAAAATAGTCTTCATGGTGATAATAACAACGATTATCTTATGCAATGTTCGTGATAATTACAAAGAGAAAAATTATTTATTTCGGTGAATGATAATTTCACTCGCAATTAATTCAATATTTTGTTAATAATCTGTTTTGTTGAATAAAATTGGTATGTTTAATGTTACGGGAAAGAAATCTTCTGGGATACCGACACAAGTCTCATAAATATCCCTTTCAGTGGTGTATAATGAAGGAAACGTTACATTATGTAATTATTTTCCGGATCTTCTAAATTTAGAATTGTTTATACGAAAGAATGTTTGAAATAATTGTATCAAAATCTTGGAATTTCACTTTTTGTATGATATTGGTGGATTAGCTATATCTTGGTGACACGTTGTAATTATCTGGTTTATTTATTGGTGGATCTGTCAATATTTTATGTTAACACTATTAATTCATTATACAATTTGTTTTAAAATTTCATCACTGCATCTTGACTTTGGTCATTCGACACTCCTATAAAAGGAACGAGATAATATAAAACATCTTGGTCTCAATCTTACTTCTAACTCAATGAAGCAAGGATTAGATATAAAAAAGGAGACACGTGAAGGCAACAATAAAGACAGAAATGACCCGGTAGTTTGAAGAAGAAGGCCGCTTCTAATTTTACAATTGTAATAAACTCGTTAATTTCTAAGGCTTTAATGTAGTTGTGTATGTCGAGCTCTGTGTCATGGTCCTGAGCCAATTACCTGAAATAATTATTTTATAATATGGTAATGTTTTATTACATGATTAATTGTTTATAAATAATATATTGTGCTTCCGGTTTTGTCAAATACCAGGTGAGTGTATTCTTACGTTGTCAAATAAGAGTTCCGTATGAGTATCTTTTTTTCTCTCGATGAAATGTATTACATCAACATTAAAATCAGGTATATATAGCTATGTGACTTCTGTATTTTGTTTACAAGAAACAAAAAGAAAATAACAACATGTAAACATACTGATAACAATATTACCTGTTATCTATCCACATCGTGCTTCGTGGCACATAAGTCTTTGACAGAGCTTTCCCGTCTCTCCCGTCTGCCATTGTTCGTACCTCGTTCCAGAATCTCCAGTCTGCTTCATCTCTCTACTTCTCTCCTCCATGTCGTCTTTGGTCGTCCGCTTTTCTGTTTTCTTTCCGAGGCCCATGTTAATGAAACATTGCAGTTCTTGTTCTTCCACATAATAAACCTATTCATTTTCCGTCTGCATTCTTTGTTATCTCCCTGCTTACTGGTCTCTTCTTCATTCTTTCCAATAGGTCTTCTATCCTTACATGGTCGTACCATTAAAACTACATAATTTTCTTGATGTCGTTGACAGTACTTTTCGTGCCTATCAGGATTCTTGTATAATATTTATAAGATTTACCACTTTATGTCCTGCCAAATATAACGGAAATGAAATATGATCCATAATCAAAGAAAACGTTTATAATAAATGAAGATTTTTTTTCTTAAACATTCTCCTATCTGTTGATGTACATACAGTGTATGCTCCGTATGTATGTAAACATTTCATAGAGCGAATAATTGCAACTTCAGTCTTATGCAATTTACCCTGAATAACTTTGACCTGCTTCGTTTGCTCGGTAAATACACAGATTACTGCTCTTCAATCGTTCAGGAATAGTTTGGGTGATCTCTTAAACAGAAAACGTTAAAACTAGCACATAAATCTATTAGCGGCGAGAGGTCTGTCGCTCTAGGCTGTCGTGTTGTAAAACACGATACACGGACAAAACAGAAATCTGTCAGCGTTCTGACTAATGGAGAAATGTCCTAGCTTAATTTTCGAGCATATTTTGGAGTTGTCATCGTGCTTCTGTCAGTACGTCATCACATGCAGGCGTACCGATGCCAATAAGCGCTTCCACAGCCCCAGTGATACCACGGTCTATACCGCCAATTAAGAGACGGCCAGGCACATTTAGGTATACATGGCACATACCAAAATACATTACTCGTAGTAACCGATATAAACACTATTCAACATATGTGAACAAAAATTCGTTGTGAAATCTGTTTTCATATCTGGTGTATAAAAATAATAAAATGCAAAGCTATTCAAAATAACTTTAAAAATTGTAAATTTCTAGCTACATACAAAAATATATGTATTAATTAAAAAAATCTACAATTTTAAGAATTATGATTCCTAGTGGGTTTTTTTACACTCGATCTTTCATATTGATATTTATCGTCTGAATTAGCAGATTGCGGCATCCGATTTTACTGGTCGTATCTCTGTGGATATTACAAATACAATTATCCAAAGAGGATTAGATCGATGCATTCATTTCTATGATATTATTCACATTGCGTCTTAGAAGTTCAAAGCCTTTCTTTGTTGAAATATAACTTTTTATGAATTTTGAACAAAAATTCTAATATGAAGATTCATTACATGATTAAAAATATCATTTAATAAGGTTCAAGTACATTTTAAAATGTAAAGATTTCAAAATGAGATATCAAGAATAAAAAAAACCCATTAAGATAACTTCGGGAGGCATGGATCTTTACCTGTTAAGTAACACCTTGCAGTCTAGATCACTGGCGATCTCCCAAGTCATTTACTTATTCTAATTACCAGGTCTGTTTTTTCGCTGTAAATCGCAAAAAAATCGACATGATACAGTGATGAAAATTAACCGGTATGACAGAAAAAGTCATGCCGACAGATTTATCAATTTCTGTAACACTTTACCGTATGTTACTTTCCGTATATGTTGTTGTTTTTGTCTGCACGTGTATGTGGCAAGTTGTTGTTATGATTACCGTTTGTCTATATCTATCATTAGTCAGCAATGAACTCTCGCGAGATTTCTAGAGACTCCACACGATGATTGGCCAATGTGGCATAAAGCTCCGAGACACCGTTGTGCGTTTACTTGTGTAATGAATCAGTGAGGTGTTAAACCTATCAGTTCTATAAATATATCTTCTCACACTACTACAAATGGGAACATGGAAAAGAGTATCGACAGTACTTACAACTCTGTCTGTTAATTGAAACCACGTGCAATCCTGAACCAAAAGGTTATTTGAGATTTTTTTCTCCTCTTTACGTCCTTCATCAGTGTTCTACATTGTTAATTGGATATCCACACTAATAAATGGTGGAATGTCTCCCACTAATAGTTCGGATAATGATCTAATACCTACATACGTTGTCTACTGGTACATGTACCGATCAGTCACGTAGACACCTGTTTTAATTATCCTATAATTTTATTAACTACCTTACAGAAGTCAGCGTGGCTTCAAGTCAAATATGCTGTTATAGATTTACAGACATAACCTTATTTAAAGTTACTGTAAAAATGGCGATTTTAGTGGGTCTCTTATTCCTCTAATTTAAATGATGAACAAAATCACAAAGAATAGATACATTGAAAAAAAACCCTTAGCCGTTTCGTCAAAAAAAACCCAACTAATATACAAATCTGCATGACTTTACAATGCTTTGCCAATGTTTTATTTTCAGTTGACTTTGTGTTGATGTCGTTTTGTGCTGACACTTTGGTATATTCAGTATTTCCGTGTTCTAGTGTCAGCATGCATTGGTATGTGTTGTATGTGTTGGTATATTTTGGGACATATTTTGGTACGTGTTGATATATTTTGTGATATATTTTGGTACGTGTTGGTATATTTTGGCATGTGTTGGTATATTTTGGTATGTGTTGGTATGTGTTGGTATATTTTGGTATGTGTTGGTATATTTTGGTATGTGTTGGTACGTGTTGGTATAATTTGGTATATGTTGGTATATTTTGGTATGTGTTGGTACGTGTAGGTATATTTTGCTATGTGTTGGTATGTGTTGGTATATTTTGCTATGTGTTGGTATATTTTGGTATGTGTTGGTATATTTTTGTATATTTTGGTATGTGTTTGTATATTTTTGTATATGTTGGTATATTTTGGTATGTGTTGGTATATTTTGGTATGTGTTGGTATGTATTGGTATATTTTGGTATGTGTTGGTATGTGTTGGTATATTTTGGTATGTGTTGGTACGTGTTGGTATATTTTGGTATACTTTGGTATGTGTTGGTATATTTTTGTATATGTTGGTATATTTTGGTATGTGTTGGTATATTTTGGTATGTGTTGGTATACTTTGGTATGTGTTGGTATGTATTGGTATATTTTGGTATGTGTTGGTATATTTTGGTATGTGTTGGTATATTTTGGTATGTGTTGGTATGTGTTGGTATATTTTGGTATGTGTTAGTATATTTTGGTATGTGTTGGTATATTTTGGTATGTGTTGGTACGTGTTGGTATATTTTGGTATATTTTGCTATGTGTTGGTATATTTTGGTATGTGTTGGTATACTTTGGTATGTGTTGGTATATTTTGGTATGTGTTGGTATACTTTGGTATGTGTTGGTATATTTTGGTATGTGTTGGTATACTTTGGCATGTGTTGGTATGTGTTGGTATACTTTGGTATGTGTTGGTATATTTTGGTATGTGTTGGTATACTTTGGCATGTGTTGGTATGTATTGGTATATTTTGGTATGTGTTGGTATATTTTGCTATGTGTTGGTATATTTTGGTATTTGTTGGTATGCTTTGGTATGTGTTGGTATATTTTGGTATGTGTTGGTATACTTTGGTATGTGTTGGTATATTTTGGTATGTGTTGGTATGTGTTGGTATATTTTGGTATATTTTGGTATGTGTTGGTACGTGTTGGTATATTTTGGTATGTGTTGGTATGTGTTGGTATGTGTTGGTATACTTTGGTATGTGTTGGTATATTTTGGTATGTGTTGGTATGTGTTGGTATATTTTGGTATATTTTGGTACGTGTTGGTACGTGTTGGTATGTGTTGGTATATTTTGGTATATTTTGTATTCAAGTATATATATGCTGTTGGTTTAAACCGTGCTGTGTTCTATGGTCGATAATGAAGCTCTTGGTAAATGTTATACAATTTACAGGATGGTCATTTTCTGTACTGTGTAATTGTCCCCAGAGAGTCGGTATGATACGTCAGATCTTGATGAAATCATTAAATGGTATACCTAGATTACGTCTACTGCTGATAAACAAGTACCACCTACAAAGATCTGTCTTTGGACCCTAGCATCACATTACAGCCGGCTAAAAGAGCGTGCTTGATTTCATAACAAAGCAGATCGTGTTTCCTTATGTGAACTTTTTGTTAAACGGTAGACATATAGAAAATTTGTTTTTGTTTTCATAATGAAGTCAAAGTATCAATTACGCAAAGACTTTAGAGTAAATATTGAAAGGAACAGGACGATAAATGAGTCTGGAAGAAGGACATCAAACGGCTGGCATACTCTATAAGACATCATTTATCTATGAAAAGAGAAAGATGAAATAGTTCTTAATGATTATCGAATCATATTGTAACATCTATTAGTTTCGAAATATCTTCAGATGAACTGACCGAGACAAGGTCAATATCCACACCGAATTTAATGAATGGTATGTGACAAGGTCAAACTTCAAAGGAGGGGCAATGACGGAAGAGAGTGATGTCAGACTTTTTTTACTGTTTTGGGAAATCTTTCCACGCCGGATGCCTGTTGCGTGATTATTTATGACGTCGTCGGTATTAAGTCTTCTTTCAGTATCACGTGATCAAACCAATGAAAACGTCCGCACCGATAGATACCAGGCTTAATTCTATAAATTATAAACTATTTCATTTTTAAATAAGATGTTATTTTCAAATAATATAGCTGTTGTTATATATAGCCGATATATCTTTTCATGTTATAAAAACAATTCCACTGATACGAAAATACAATAATACTACAGTCATTCAGACTAGGGGAGATAACTCCAGTATCACAACAGCTTACTTACCATTTTGGTATCCTAGAAATAAAGGTATTTATTCACT